TGAAAGTAAGAAAAAATAATAATAAAAATATAATAAAAAAACATAAGAAAAAAAAAAACTTAAAAGATACAAAAGATACATATAAAAAACAAAAAAAAAGAGGGGGGGGGGGGGGCGGGTGAACATCTGATAATGAGAGAAAGGAAAAGGAGGAAAAAGAAGGATGGAAGAGTAGTAGCCGCATAACGTAGCGCTGAAATATTATACTAATGCTCAACATTTATTCAGGTTTTCTGTATCAAGAAGGGGAAAAAAAAAAGGTTTTACAACAGGCGAATAGAAAGAAAGGCAAAGTCTGATGATACTACACGATCATGATCTAGACCTTCAAGAGACTCAAAATGCCATGTGGGAATCTGATTCCTTTGTGAAATATGTCTCTATATTATTATCTTGTTTTTATTTTTCAGGTTTGTTTAAGGCGGGCTGAGTCGATGACGTCTTGGGAGAAACCCGCAACACAGAAAAATAGGGAGAGTGTACTGGTTTTTTTCGATTGTTCTATCTTCCCTTCATTCTCATCTTCCCTTGTTTAATGGGGCAAAGGGCCGGTTGTTGATTCCCATTCGCGCATATCTGAATAAACAATTTGCTTTGTATGGAGAGTGGTTAGTTTTGTAGGTTTTGCAATTGATTGTTTGAAATTACAAATATCATTGATTGACTTTCCCTTCTTGATGCCGTTCACAAGATATATGATATCAACATTACATGATCTTAACAAGTCACTGCAACTTCATAAGATAGACAGAGCAATCTATGTAACGACCTTGGGGCTAAAGCCACCGTGGCTCAATGGCTGGGCGATCAGATAGTTAAGCATAGAGGCCAACGGAGAGAAAGTACCGACGTCATCTCACCCGCCCCCACCTTGGGCACTTGGAAGGAGAAGCTTTATACAATCCTCTGAGCTGTCCAAAGTAATAATAATAATAAAGGTATCACACTGCTGCCCTACATGTTAAGATTAAGAGAATAAATTGGAAGCAGGATTTAATGAGATATTTGGGAATGAACTGTTGAGAACCAAAGACGGAGTAACGGTGGTCAATACTCTATTTTTACTTCTAGATTGATGCTCTCTGTCACTGAGTTGCTGACAATACCTCAAAATTTAAACAAAAGGACAGACTGCTGTAACAGTATTTCATATTACTATCTTTTCATTGAATAATAACATAAAATTCCCTCGCGCAAATTGACTTGTTATCATTGATTATCTATTTTATCAGATATTGCTTTCTACTTCTACATTTATTGTTTATGGATATCATACAATCAGTAATACAATCAGGACACATGTACACACCATTCCCTGTACATGTCATTATAGCGGGGTGTGGTCACTCCTAGTTATCTGATATCAAAAAGATTAAAACCTATTGAACAAACAAGAGATTTATACTTGGCTAAATTCATACACATCATGGACAGAGGCAGGAATCCTGCTGGAGTTGAGATTCAGATCTGAACTTCATAGATATCTTTGAATTGAAGATAGAAGTCTGGCAGCTAGATTTTTACTTTTATCAAACATGTCAGCTGAAACAGAGATGTACATTAAAGACCCTATGACTACTAAGAGACTGGTCGTAAAGGAATGCCATGTCAAGAATGCAATGACCTATTCCTGCTGGCGAAATTTTCTAGACATTCATACTCTGTACACGTTATTTCCAGCTCAGGCAATCTGTACTCTGGAGATACCTCGTGTATTACATTTAATATTAATACACATGGGGCGTATGCCGGAATGGCTGTTCTCGGATTTACATACAGAGTTACACACTATACAACACCCCGAGAGAGCTTTCTGAATATCTCCTCCCTCGTGGGCCTGCAGAGAATTCCTGTTCATTATCGTCCATTTCTCAATTGAAAAATAAGCTCATCGGAAGATTCCTGTTGACAACAATAAAAAGTAACTCTCCCTCCTAACTCTTCCCCGCTATTGCAGACAAAGGCCCGTGGAATCGAGATGCCCACGGCTTGTCCACGCAAAGCTGTCCGAGCTGTAGATGTCGTGTTACTGTTACTCTGTATGGCTGTGATGGTTTTGAGGGGGAGATTTCCCCCGAAACTCCTCTGACAAAAAAATGTTTTACCGTGGTCCTTAATATTGTATGTACATGTACATGTACATGTACTCCGTACGGTACTTCCAAATACTACCCTACCCGCGACCAGCGAGAATAGGGTCGGGTCAATAGCATCAGTCTTGCCTCCTTCAACCCTTCATCCTGCAATCTTAGTTCCCAGACCAGATGATACAGAATCGATAGAGCGAGGCCTTTCGCCAAGGAGTCTCATTCATCCTCACCGCTCGCTCGCTCGCTTGCTGGCTCTGAAGAAGAAGAAGAATGACTCAGACATGCATTGATGCGCTGGACTTTCGCAATTCTCCGCGTGGGTCAATCGGGGCCTGCCGACTTGGAGAGGAAGATAGGAATGAGAACTGGGTGGAGGGAAACCCCCCCCCGGGGAAAATTTGCTTGTGGGATGCTCGATGCCTGACAGGGAGCGGGGCTTCTGTCGTCTGAGCACATCCTGCCTGACCGCGGTCAGGGCCATATTTCGATGGCTGGAGTTAGTTAGGTGACTCGTTGCAAAAGGACGTACGTGCTTCCGCGATCGGTGATTTTGAGGCAATCACGGGATAGCTGCGAATGCACGACAGGAATGACGACTTTGCAGCGTAACGTACGGGAGATCTCCCGCAGTTTCAAAAGGCTTTTTAGCCTGAAGACTGTGCTTGACCACCATCCCATCGGAGGCTTGTTATTTATTAGTTGGCTTACTCCGTACTCTGTACATGTGTTAGGGAGCACAAGAGGGACCACACCAGACCAGTCAGCAATGTTCTTTATTTTAGTTTTATTTTTTTGTAGCTTTCCTCCCATACGTCGTAGTTTCATATCACAGAGTATTCCTTTTCGTACCGAGTATTCTGGTCGAATGTAGACAGTACTCGTGCGCAGCAAATACATTGTAGAAACGAAGCCAAGGGACGGATGGCGGCTGCTTACAAGTGCCACACCTGCCACACAGTCCAGGATGCCTCCGTTGTGTTGTATCTCCAGCTTCGGTTTTGTCAGTTGAACGAGATATCAAAAACATCCACCGCCTATCATTGCTATAACCCAAAGAGAGGCGACAAAGGAGCAGTCTCACGTGGTTGACCGCTCTGCGCTCTTCTGCATCCCGCTCTGCAGCTAAACTTGCGGGATTGGAGATGATTCATCGCCACCGTATCGCCTCGAGTGTGCTTTGCCTTGGGAACTGACTGGCTAACCATCACCCCCGCCTCTTCTCCCGCCCGCCCCGATCGCATCAGGGAGCGCGCCTTGGCCAGCATCGAGAGCTGTCTCTTGTGTTGTCTCCTCGTCGCGTCCGCTGGCCGGTCACCAGACTTGCGTGCAGGGCTCCGGCGCCGACGGCTGCTTTTTCGTCCCCGCAAATTATATCTCTAGTCGTCTAGTCGCTCACACTTGCCTGCAACACGGATTGGAAGGTTCCTTTACAGAGCGGCTGAAGCTGTTTGATTTACTCTTTTCTGTTTTCCCTTTTTGATATTGGCTGTCCTTGTCTGGAGAGCGGACAGCCAGCTGGTCATCTATAAAGAAATCACGAGGCTTATCCCGGGGTTGCCAACCAAACAGCCAGCCAGTAGTTATCATCATCAGCATCACCATCATCATCGCATTGCAGGTTGCATCGTGCTTGGTCAGCTCTGTCGATTGGCAACAGAGTCGCATTTACAGGGCAGATCGGCCCCGACTGCACGGCACATCCCAACTGGGGCATCTACTCTACTGTACTTGGCCTGCGGCGTGCTGGTGACTCCGTACATACATACATGCATACAGACATACAGCTTACTGCTGTAAGACCACTCTCACCCACTCAGTAGATTGGGATGGATAACCACGGTAGGTCATTTGATGGAAATCGCGGCTGAAAGAAACACCAGCACGACCAGAAAATCTGGTGGCAAGAGAAATATGCGCTGGCAATTTCGATGTCACCACTCTACCCGCCCTCTCTTCACATATTTTCCGGCCCTCTATACAGGCTGCAGGCTACAGACTACCCTACCCTACCCGCCTGCCAAACATTTCCCAATGCCCCCCCGCCTTAAGCTTTTCTGGCAGCCTGTGCGTCCAAACGGGCCGCTGTGGCTGCATGGATACTTCCGCTCCTCGCCTGCCACAGTTGACACACACTCCCCCCCTTACTTCGAGCGCAACTCTTGAGTTGTATCGCCCTAAGAGCCTACTAAATGTCATGACTAGGCGCCCTCCCCGTTCTCTGTCTTTCCCTCAGCCAGTCCCTGCGTGCTGGGCGGGTTCCCCTGCGCTTTGACACGTTCTTTATTTGTATCGCCCATCCCGGCATGTCCTTGGTCACACGCTCACTCAATATTCTTATTTTAACATAGGACAAATGTCTCCCGTGAGCGCTGCGTTGGCAAGCGCTCAGCCTCATCCCACCCAAATAGATACACGGCCGACCCCAGCCCGCAGAGTCCCAGATCGCAAATCGACCAGGTGCCGGTACTTCGGGTCCAAAAAGGGTATGCCCCATTGAATTCCTTGCGTCCTCACTTGATGCTGGTGATTGATTAATTGACTGATTGATTTCTTGTTGTTTGTATTTGTCCCCCTGTAATCTTCGGCCTTGCATTTCCCTCATCTCTTGTCTCTTTTCAATACCATAATGGTTTTTTTATTACTTCGTTTTGGAATTTCATAATACTTGTTTGTGGAACGACACTTGCTTGTTTATACCTTATACAACTGGCCCGTCCATATATCCGTTTGATATTTCTTGGGCGCCAAAATTGCTGTGTTTTGTTTTTTGGTGGTCCCCTTTCGAATTTTCGTTTGCTGCCCCTTTTGTC